TCCGACCGAGCCGAGGCTGGCCCGGGGAGCAGCCGGGCCACTCTGTCTGTACAGAGGGATCGGGGTTGCAAGGTCAGCCGCGAGCTTGGTGCTGGCCAGCGGGGCCGTGTGCAGAGGCCAGGTTTGGCTCCGGGACCCGTGTTCAGCCTGCCAAGTCCTGGAGGAGCTCAGTGGGCCGGACACCAAGCGGCACGTGGGCTGGGGACCCACAGAGCAGTGACACTTTGCCCAGTGAGCTAGAGGACACATATGGGACACCCAGTGCCCTCGCTGCCCACACGGCGAGGTGGCACCTGAGCAACCGGGCCGCCTGTTCCTGTCGCCCTGCCGTCCCTGGGTGGGACGGGGTCTGAGAGGCACCTGTCTGGGGGCCTGCTCCTCCCGTGACCTGGCCCGGTAAGCACGGTGGGGTGAGGGGACGGGAGGGGCTGCCAGGGCGGCAGGCAGGTCTCCCGCTCCCAGCTCTGCCAAGGGACTGCGGCTCTCGCTCGGCTCGTGGGACCTACAGTCTTGAGGAGCAAGGAGGGCTCTGCGGCCTCCTGCGAACCAGCAGGTGTCTCAGCTTCTTCCCCGCTGTCGTGGGGCTACAGGCTGTGCCCTCGTGACCCCGCAGTGGCTTTTATGGAAATCGAAGGAGACATGGATTTGAAAGATTGCTTCTTAAGCACTTATTACTATTATTATTATTATCATCGTCGTTATTATTGTTATTACTATTGTGCTGTCATACCTACGTGATAGATACTATACAGCTATGTGGTCGTGGAGTCAGGTGTCCTCTGTCGCTGGAAGGTTCTAGAGAAGTTCGTTTTAACAGCATTCACTGAACTCTGTGCTGAAGATTAAACGTGTCAGTGGCTGAGCAATCTCCAGAAACACCCAGTGTGTCCCTGGGGAGACACTTAGCTTTCAGACGAAACGGTCCAGGCCAGCGGTCCCCAGCCTTTGTGGTACCAGGCACTGGGGCTCCTCTGAGAATCTAGTGCCTGATGATCTGAGGTGGAGCTGAGGCGGTGACGCCGGTGCTGGGGGCGGCTGCAAAGATACGTGAAGCTTTGTTCGCTCGCCCGCTGCTCACCTCGTGCTGTGTGGCCCGGTTCCTGACAGGCCACAGACCGGTCCTGATCCACGGCCCAGGGGTTGGGGAGCCCTGCTCTAGGCCACACTTTCCTGAGTGTGTATGTGTGTGTGTGTACGTGTGTGTGCGCGTGCGTGTCTGGGTATGTGTGCCTGTGTGTGCGTGTGTGCATGTGAGTGCGTGTGCACGCATGGTACATGTGCGAGTGTGTGTGCGCATGTGTGTGAGTGTGAGAGCGTGTGCTTGTGATTGTGCATGTGTGAGTGTGTGTGCATGTGCGTGTGTGCACCTATGCGTGTGTGTGTGTGATGCTGCACGTCTTTAAGCGTGATGTCTGTGGGCGGGACTGGAGCGGGCCCTACAAGCCCCTGGCACCCTGCCACCTCCGTGCCCTCCCTACCTGCTGCCTGACACCTGCGTCTGTCCCCTCTAACTCCTGCCCGGGCGGCGGCTGACGGCTGAATTCCAGTCCTTCCCAATGTTCGCGTTGTTCTAGAGGAGACTTAGGTAACAGCAATTGCAAGGGTTGGAAATCGAGCAGACCCTGCAGACCGTCCCGTTCAGTGATGGAGGCGAAGGGAGCCGCACCCTGCCCTCGGAGCGGAAGCGAGTCGGAGCCTCCTCCACGCATCAAGTCAAAACAGGTCCGGGCACGAGGAGCCTCCTCAGCCCGCCTCCCGCCTCCCGCCTCCCGCCTCCCGCCCTGCGCCTGAAAACCACGGACACCTCTGCAGAGGGGAGGCGCAGTGTCTCGGTGAAGTGACCAGGACAGAGGGCGCAGTGAGGAAGGCATAGGTCTGGACCAGAGCCCAGGGCGCCTGTCTCCCCGGGGGAGGTGCAGGGTCCGCACCGGTCGTGACAAAGACCCCGGCTAGGTTAAGGCGGTGCCACGAGGAAGAGTCCTTTCCCAGGAGAGGAGCGTGTGCTGCCGCGGCCGGCCACGGCCAGAGCGCGTGGGCTGGAAGCACCGAAGATGTGGGGCCCAGTTTGGCGTGGTAGCTGGGGTGCCCGGGAAGCCCGGCGCATCCTGGCCGAGCTGCAGACGGCAGAGGGGTGGCCGGAGGTGTGTCTACCCCGTTCTCAGTGCACAGCCGGCCGGCCCTGGGGTACACGGGCCCTAAGGTGCGCCCTTCAGCCCGGCCGCTTCTGTGGCAGCAGACCGCGGGGGCTGGGGGTGGGGACTGGCTGCGGGTGGGCTCGCACCCCGGGGGCTGCCTTCCCTCGGGGCGTCGCTCTGAGCGCACACAACCTCAAGCAGCAGAGAGGCTGAATGAGAAGAGAGCCTGTCCCACCTGTCCCAGCCAGGGCTCCACCTGCCGTCAGGACAGAGGAGGGGCCAGCGGAGGGGACAGGAGAGGGGCCAGGGGAGGGGCCGGGGAGGGGCCAGCGGAGGGGACAGGGGAGGGGACAGGGGCGGGGCCAGCGGAGGAGCCGCTCCAGGGCGCTGCCACAGCCCTCCTGTGTCGTGTCCATCCACCCGACATAAACTCCTACCTCTCTGTGAAGGCCGCAGATCTAGCTCAAATGCCACCTCCTTCGCCGAGTCTCCCCTCGCCTCAGGTGCCTGTGATCTTGGCTCCCTAAACCGTCCTGTGACTTTTAACCTCATAAACGGCCGGCTCCTCGAGGCGGTGACTGCGTCTTCTACCGTGTCGTTTCTGGGGTTGTTCGTGTTGTTTCATAGGGTCTCTGCGCGAGCGGATGAGCAAACCCCCTTCCGGTCCCCGCTTCCTCGTCTCATACGAAGGGAGACCTCGTCGAGCTGTGCGGGTTACAACACTCGGGAGCGCTGAGTGAGCGTCCGCAGATGGGGCGCCGAGGCAGTGGATGGGGGGGCGGGGGGCGGAGGGGAAGGCGGGCGGGAACCCCGATCCCCGGTCATAGTGTCCTCCTTCTCATGCCCATGGCCTCTTTTGCCCATCTGAGGATTTGGGGCCAGAGCCATGGGCAGCCAGAGGGCTCTTTCTTTCGGGTCCTCTGAGCTAAAATTTCCTGGGGAGGATCTAAGCGCTAATATCTGCTTCCTCGCACTCAGGAAAAACGGTTGCCTAGAATTCACACTCGTAAAAACCCCGTCACCTGTTTCTGAAAAGTCAATGCGCATCTGAATGTATCACATATCTTGAAATAATAACAGCATGGTACTGAGACGACTTCAGATAACTGCCTGACAAGCCCCAGCCAAGAAATCATTCGACCCCTTGGGCGCGTGTGGCCTTGTTCGCTGCAGAGTTCCTAGCACGTGGTAGAACGTTGTCAGCTCGTGACAAACGCTCACAATTCTGATCTGAATTACCCAGATTTTATTGGAATAATAACAGCCACAATGGTGGACTGACCACCTGCTGCGTGCCAGACATCGCGGTGGGCATTTGTCACCACTGTCTCATCTGTCCTCCCAGTGACTCTGCATTAGGTGTGACCACACTCAGTTTATAGGCAGGAAACTGAGTCGAAGGGCATCAGTAGCTCTCCGATGTCATGTGCTAACGAGGGCAGCCTGGGGGTCACCCTTCCAGTGGTTCTTAGCGCTGGTGCCACCGCGTTGCCTGGCGAACTTGAAGGCTTGCGAAGGGGGGAGGGGAGAGAGAGAGAGAGAGAGAGACAGAGACAGAGACAGAGACAGAGACAGAGACAAAGACAGAGACAGAGAGAGAGACAGAGAGAGAGAACTCCCCTCCATATGCGTTTTAATCCCTCACACAAATTAGCGTTTTAAAGTTCCCGGCGCCTTTGATTTGAAGCAAGGCGCTGACGCTGTGTTTTGTATCCCTCACGGCATTTAAGCCCACGGCTCTGCCCGCCTCCCGTGCTCGGTAACTGTTTGCTTAGTGAATGGAAAAGCTAGTAAACTTAGAGGGAGCCTAACTCGGGCTCTGTTGTGTTTTCCGTTTTATTGATCAGTCTGTCACTCCGTTCTTCACAGCTTCCTTAGGGGTCACGATGCATCTTTTCTTTCGAACACAAATAATCGTGGCGGATGAGTAGAATGAGCGTACGTGGGGGGCAGGGGACCAGGCCCTCATCGGCGCTGAAAGGGCAAAGGTCGAGCCCTTTCCCCGGGGGACCCCGCTTCATTCTAACGCGTGAGACCCGCTTTCACCTCTGCAGCAGGGTCCACGTGCCGCCTCCCCGAAGAGGCAGACGCTGAGCACTGTGGCCTCGAATTAGCGTTTTTAAGTTCCCGGTGCCTTTGATTTGAAGCAAGGCGCTGACGCTGTGTTTTGCATCCCTCACGGCATTTAAGCCCACGGCTCTGCCCACCTCCCATGCTCGGTAACTGTTTGCTTAGTGAATGGAAAAGCTAGTAAACTTAGAGGGAGCCTAACTCGGGCTCTGTTGTGTTTTCCGTTTTATTGATCAGTCCTTCTGTCCCAAAGGCCTTGAGCAGAGGAGAAAACCCTGCCTTGCGTTCAGCGTGAGCATTACAGCCGCTTCGGTTAGGCGGTGTGACTCGCAACTCACACGGATCCCATGGAAGTCAGGGGCCCTGCCCTAAACCCTGACGGTCACCGGCCACCTCTGCGGGACACTTACGCATACACTGCTGTGCCGCCTCTGTGTGAGCTTACCTGGAAGTGTTCCCAGTTCGGGTGCTGGTCCTGACTCCTCAGGAAGACTGTCCATTTTTGAGCAATGGGGGACAGCTCTGCCAGCTTTTACATGTCCCTTGGCAGTGCCTAGAATGCCCACTGTACCCACGGGCGCTCAGAGGTGCTGCCGATGGGGTCTCTGGCTCGTATTTTTAAACTCGTTTTCTTTGACGAATACAAAACCTTTAGTGGCAGCAGCATCTTCCCAAGGTCACTGGGGCGGGGGCACGGCGGGCGCTGGCGGGGAGCTGACGGGGAGCTGACGCTGGCCGTGATCGGGTGAGGGGTTCACGTCCCTGGGCATTCAGACGGGCCAGCTCCCCGCCCCGTGCCACCCGTGATGGGCAGGCAGTCTCCAGCGCCACAGATTTTCCAGTTTCACGGGAAGAGCATTTGTTCTTTCTAAAACATCACGTGGGGCTTTCGATTTTCGGCGGGACCGCTGTGATTTGGACATTTGGGTCAGCATCGCGGTGGCCCCTGGAGATGGCCGTACACATCTTTTCCATCTTACCGTGAGCTCCTAAGAGCTTGCATTTTTATCTGCCTTCGTGCCGCAGGCTGGCACCAAGCCTGCTTGGTGAATGTCTGTCGATCGACTGGATGGATTTGCATGTTTTCTCGGCTCTCCTGGGGTCTGCCTTTCGCCCGAGGGCCATAGCTCCTCCTGGAGCCCCGCTAGAGGCGGCCGGCACTTAATAAAAAATTTAAGCATGCACAGCGGACCCGCCCTAAGTGTGGGGTTCGGCGTGGATTTCTAGCTTGGCCGGAACACACGAGTAGAATGAGCGGAAGCGGAGAGCTCTGATGCGGATGCGCCGTGAACCTCGGTTTAGGTTTTGGCTTCTAGAAATGGTTCGGTTCCTCCTGCCCCGTATTTTCCCCTTAAATTCATGTCTCACACAGGCATTTGCAGGTATTCTGTGTTTGCGAACTGCTACTTTTCCTTTTCTTGTGATAGAAGGCATTTTTTATTAAAAAACGTTTTATTTTTTAATGACAGGTGATAGTCAACGTTATTTCGTGTTAATTTCAGTCGTACAGCGTCGTGATTAGATATTTGTATAATTTGGAAAGTGATCTACCAGTGGATCTAGCACTGACCGGGCATCACACGTAGTTATCACAGTGCGACTGACGATGTGCCTTATTCTGTACTTCACGCCCCGCGACGGTTTCATCACGGCCCATTGCGCTTCTTAACGCCTTCGCCTTTCTTCACCGAGTCCCCACCCTCCCGTCCCATCCGGCAGCCACCGGTTCGTCCTCCGTATCTTTGAGTCTGTTTCTGTTTCGTTTGTCCGTTTGCTTCGTTCTTTAGATCTCACATATCAGTGAGATCATCCGGGGTTTCTCCTTCCCTGTCTGACTTATTTCACTCACGTAACACCCTCTAGGTCCGTCGTGTTGTCGCAAATGGGAAGATGTCCTTCTTTTTCATGGCCGAGTAATATTCCGTTGCATCTATGTGCCGCCCGTTCTTTATCCAGTTGTCCGTTGACGGGCATTTATGTTGCTTCCGCATCTTGGCTGCTGTGAATAGCGCTGCGGTTCACATAGAGGTGCAGATATCTTTTCAAATTAGTTTGTTTTTTTCAGATAAATACCCAGAAGTGGACTTGCTGGGTCATATGGTGGTTGCATTTTTAATTTTTTAAAGCAACTTTCTATTGTTTTCCGTAGCGGCTGCACCAATTGGAAATCCCACCAGCAGTGCACGAGGGGTCCCTTTTCTCCACGTCCTCACCAACACTTGTGTGTTGATTGATCGATGACGGCCATTCTGACAGGTGTGAGGTGATACCTCACCGGGGCTTTAATTTGCATTTCTCTGATGATTAGTGATGTTGAGCATCTTTTCATGTGTCTGTTGGCCGTCTGTATGTCTCCTTTGGAGAAACGCCTCCTCAGGGCCTCTGCCCGTTTTTTAATTTCTTTTTTTTTTCTGGTGTTGAGTCGTATGAGTTCTTTATAAATTTTGGATATTAACCCCTTATTGGATGTATCGTTGGTGGATGTCTTCTCCCATGCAGCAGGCTGTTTTTTCGTTTGTTGATAGTTTCCTTTGCTGTGCAAACCTTTTTAGTTTGACGTAGTCCCATTTGTTTATTTTTTCTTTAGTTTCCCTTCTCTGAGGAGCTACATCAGAAAAAAATATTACTGTGTCAGAGAGTTTACTGCCTATGTTCTCTTCTAGGAATTTTATGGTTTCTGGTCTTATATGTAAGTCTTTAATCTATTTTGAATGTCCTCTTGTATGTGGTATAACCATCCTATGTCTTTTGATTGGAGCATTTAATTCATTTACATTTAAATTAATTATCGATAGGTAGTATAGTTATTGCCACTTTATTATTCATATTTTTGGTCTTTCGTTTTTCTTATTCTTCTTAAAGAAGTCCTTTAACATTTCTTTAATGCCGGGCAGGTGGTGACGAACTCCTTTAGCTCTTTGTTGCCCGCGAAGCTCTTTATCTCTGTTTTAAAGCACAGCCTTGCTGGGTAGAGTTGTCTTGGTTGTAGGTCTTTGCTTTTTCTCACTTTGAATATTTTGTGCCAGTCCCTTCTGGCCTGCAAAGTTTCTGCTAAGAAATCAGCTGTCGGTCTTACGGGAGCTCCTTTGTAGGTAATGAACTGCCTTTCTCTTGCTGCTTTTAAGATTCTTTCTTTGTCTTTAACCTTTGAATTTTTAATGATGATGCGTCACACAGCTCGATCTCTCCCTGTGTGCCTCTGGTGCCTAAGCCGCTGTCTCTCTGGAGCCCAGAGTATGTGCCTGGGAGTGAGTGAGTCTGTGCGTGGGCCCTATAAGAGGATGCCTGGGACTCCAGCCACCTGCCATCTTACCTGAATGGAATCCTCACTGATTTTCACAGCCAGATGTTGTGGGGGCTCCTCCTCCCAGCACTGGAACCCTGGGCTGTGGAGCCTGGCGTGGGGCTGGGGCCCCTCAGTCCTCCAGGGGGGACTCCTGCAGCCGAGGTATCCCTCCCACTGCTCCAAACATGGTTACGCGTGGGTGTGGGCCCTGCCCGGTCTGCGTCTCCACCCTTCCTACCAGTCTCCAAGTGGCTTCTTTGCATCCTCAGTTATAGGGCTTCTGTTCAGCTAGACTTCGGGTGGTTCCGCAGGTTGATTGGTCTACGATTTAGTTGTGGTCGTGGGAGGAGGCGAGCATGGCATTTACCTACCCCGCCATCTTGACCGGAACTCTCTGGAAACTACTTGAAATAGACCTTGTTTTTAACTGAGAATGCCTTTGTTGCTTTCGGCCACAGAGTTGGGGTTACCTGGCTCTGTGTTTTATTGTATTTATTTTTTTCTCTTGCAGCTCAATGTGGTCAACGGTGTCAGCATTTCTGAGGACATCAAGCCCTTACCAGGGCTTCCTGGGGTTGGAAGCATGAACTACCCGTCCACCAGCCCTGGCTCTCTGGTCAAACACATCTGTGCCATCTGTGGAGACAGATCCTCAGGTACGTGCAGAAGCAGAAGGCCCCTCCCCGGTGCCCTAGGTGACAGGGTCCCCGAAAAGGCACTGCTCCGCTACCCACCTTCTACCTGTCTCTTGATGAAGAGAAAGGGCCCTTTAGGGTGGTCCGGCTTGGGGCCCAGGCTGTGAATTTCTGTCACTGGGCTCGTAGTCTGCCATCTTGATGAATTTAAAGTGTGACTTCATGTTTGAGGATCAGATTTATAAGAAATATTTCAGAAAGCTCTTTCCTCTGGAGTTCTTCCTGTGTTTGGTGTGTATCTGGGGTAGAGAGCTGTTGTGATGAGCTAGCATCTCAAGCTAGAATTTCTTTAATTAAAAAAAAATATATTTTATAATTCTAAAAATAATGTCCCAATGTAGAAAATTTGGAAGAACTAGAAAAGGGCAAAAGAAAACTTAAAAAGTGATCTCTAACGTTGCCAGCAAGGATGAAACCTTTAATACTTTAGCACATTTCCTTCCATGACATTCTAGATTTTTAACATGTTTTCGTGGGTAGAAATAATACGTTTTCACTGATTTTATCTCCTCCGGTCCTATCCACTTTGCCCGCATTATGTCTTTCCTGACTTCCTTCCCTTCCTCCGTCATTGCCGCCCCCACTCCCCATCCCGCCGATTCCGAAGATGCCGAATGTCTGATCGGATGAGTGAGCAGACGGGGCGGGTTCTTTCCTACAGCATTTCATGAAGGCTGACTGAATATTTCCTCATCTTCTCATCACCGAAACCACTACAAAATGTCACTCCACCAAGTTTCTGGAGCCTGGGACTCACTCAGCTACGTGGATGTTCGCTTGTTCCCAAAAGGCCCCTTTCAAATCATGCAGCTTGGTCATTGCTACGGCGCGGGTGCCAGCTCCGCCCGACAAGAGCGTTCCTTCCTGCGGCTCAGCGGAGAGTCAGTGAGGGTCGTTCAAATACTGAAGGGCTAGGGGGACGACAGAGTGGTCCCATGTTTTCCCAGGACAAGTACTGCGGAGCTGAGAGCATTGGGTTCTTTGGGCCCAAGATGAAATCCCATATTTATGACCAGGGCGACTTCATTTAATGAGTGTGGCCAACTGCTTAGGCCCAGGCTGGCTTCCCATCAGGCAGTCTGTCTTGACCACCGTTTCGTCTTCTCAAATGCAAGGTCTTGAGATGCAATGATTAACACTTGTTAGTTTCCAGGGACTTCAAATTCACTTTACTCTCGCCCCAAATATAAGTGAATTAGAAAGTCACGTCAGATCTGTAGCTAAATGGCATCACGTGTTGCACTGAAGAATCGGACGTAACTATGTTTCGAATGCTCCATTCTCTTACGTTTATTGAGTCCCACAATTCTAGCCAGTGGGGCATAGCTGCCTGGCGTGCGGTGTGCGGAAGACTTGACTTTGACTTAGAGTGTTGGGATTGGTCGCTCATGCCTGGGCGGGGTGGGCGTAGTGGCTTTCCTGATATGAAGTAGCCATCTTCGGCTGGGGTCATTGGAAACGAATGTGTGGGACAGGCAATGAGGTCACTGGAACATGTAACAGATGATTCTGGATCAAGTGAACCGCCCTCCATCAGATCTTATGTCGTATCTTGAAATCGTACATCATATTGTGCTGTCACGATCATGTACTGATTTACTCCTCCAGCTGGCAGCAGGATTTAAAAATCCATAATTCAGGAGCCTGCTCATAGTTTATAGGAAAGGATAATACTTCTAAGGGGGTTCCTAAGTCCTTGGGCCGCAATTATGGGGAAATATTGGTAAAGCTGAGGTTCTTTTCCTGCTAGACCAGCGGTCCCCAACTTTTGTGGCCACAGGGACTGGTTTTCCTATGAGAATCTAACTCCTGATGATCTGAGGCGGAGCTGAGGCGCTGATACCCGCGCTGGGGAGCGGCCGCAGATACGGACCGAGCTGCACTGGGCTGCCTCTCACCCCTGCTGAGCGTCCTGGTTCCTGACAGGCCACAGGACCAGTACCAGCCTGCGGCCCCAGGGTTCAGGACCCCTGTGCAAGACAATACACAACGAGCATAAACGTTTTTATTTATTCTGCATAACGCTGTCTTGAATGAGGCCAGAACATTTTGTTTAAGCCGCACAAGCATTCCCTCGATGAGATAAGTGCAAACGACAGCTTAACTCAGGACCTCTCTAATGATGCTCTCGGGACCGGCGAGTCCCAGGAAGGGCTCCAGGGGGAAGACGAGGAAAGGCGAGCGGCCTGGGCCCTGGTTCGGCTCCTGGGCTCGGCCCGCGTCCTCTGCTCGCCACTCTTTTCTTCCTGCCCACGTGACGCGCCGGTTTCCCAGGGGCCCCTTCGGACGAAGGGAACAGACTCGCAGGAGAGCGACCTCGGGACGCTTCTCTCCTTGTGCGCAGGAAAGCACTACGGCGTGTACAGCTGCGAAGGCTGCAAAGGGTTCTTCAAGAGGACGATCCGGAAGGACCTCGTCTACACCTGCCGGGACAACAAGGACTGCCTGATCGACAAGCGCCAGCGCAACCGCTGCCAGTACTGCCGCTACCAGAAGTGCCTGGTCACGGGCATGAAGCGCGAAGGTACCCCCCGCCCCCGACCCCCGGGGCTGCCTGCGGGGGGCCCTGCTGGTGGGGGGCCCTGCTGCTGGCGGGGCTCCACTCGGGGCTCCGATGGGCGCGTGCCGTGGTCTCCAGGGCTCGCTGGCGCTGGTGGCGATGGCACTTGGCTGTCCCCCGCCACGGTGCGCTTTTAAATGGTGACCCCCTTCTGTCGCCGAGGGCCCCTGTGCTGTCGCAGTGACAGCACATGTCCGGAGGCTTCCTGTCCCCCCCGCGAGGTCGGGAGCCTTGCCGTTGAACCTCACGCACCCGCCTCCCCAGCCAGGGGAACCGGCAGCGGGTCCTGTCCCCCCGCGAGGTCGGGAGCCTCGCCGTTGAACCTCACGCACAGGCGGAAGGGCACCCGCCTCCCCAGCCAGGGGAACCGGCAGCGGGGGGCGCCCGGGGAGCCGGATGGCCTTCTTGGCGGGGAGGAGGGGGCAGCCGCGTGCAAGGCGACCTGCAGGTGGCGTGGGCTTGGCCTCCGGCACTTTTCTTTCTCTCTTACAATCCGGACACGTTAACCTGCCTTAAAAAATCAGCACAAGGCACAGTCGGCTTTGAAGGGGAAGGGCAGCTGCCAGCAAAGTGCACCCGACAGTTTCCCTGCGTGGTGGGGGGTGAAGAGAAGCGGCAGAGGGGGCCGGAGGGGACACGGGGAGGGGACCGGACAGAGCCCGAGGGCGTACGGACAGATGGGGAAGAGGAAGAACCTACCTCTCTAAAACCTTTTATAAGAGGTCGCTTCCTTCTCACAAAACGATGTCGGTGAAGCACCGCGAGCCCCACCTTACAAATGTGGACACCGAGGTGGAGGCGGAGGCGGAGGCGGAGGCACGCGTCCCGTGTCACCGAGCCGGGCAGTGGCGCACCCGCTCGGGCAGGTCGCCTCCGCCCTCGCCGTCCACCCCTTCCGGGTTCTCTCTCCCTCCGTCTCCTCCTCCTCACGCCCCCGCTCTGGCCCCTCTTCCTCCCCTTCCTTCCTCCCTCGCTCCGTCCCGAGCAAGAGGGACATTGTCACCGGGAGGCTCGGCGGCCCTCCGCTGGGAGCTGTGGAGAGTGTGACACCTCGCACTGACCTCTCGCCTAGAGGTTCCAGATCATTCTGCAGCCTCGGTGGCTCGTCAGCCCCTCCAGGAGTGGGGAGCTCTGGGGAGCGGGCAGCGGGGGGCAAGGGAGGGGAGCCGAGACGCAGGAGTCTGTGCCACTTACCCGTCGTGCGCCCACAGTCACCAGAGGTGGCAGGTGGAGGGCGGGCGTGGGAGGCGGCCGGGCCGGCAAGGAGAAGGTGGCTCCTGGAGACAGAGGACAGAGGCTGTGAAAGCTTCAAGTGCCGACCGCTCAGCGTCGTCACCATAGCTAACGACAGAACACGGACACGTGGACCCGCACGGTCACACAGGCGTAGCGTAGCTCGGCTTGCTCTGTTCCATCCGTCCACACGATGACACCCCGGATTCGGGGCCGTGATGATGCCCGCTGTGCCCGTGGGGAAGCTGAGGCTTAGGTAGGCCCCAGCTTTCCCACAGTCGCCCTGGGCACGTGGTGACCCGTGCGAGTCCTTCTGTGCGCCAGCCGTGCAGGAGGAGAGGCAGAGGAGCCGGGAGCGGGCGGAGGACGAGGCGGAGTGCGCTGCCGGGGGCCGCGGAGACATGCCCGTGGGGAGGATTCTAGAAGCTGAGCTCGCTGTCGAACCAAAGACGGAGTCCTACGGCGACGTGAACGTGGAGAGCTCGGTAGGTGGCCTGAGCCCCCCGTCAGGCCCGAGCCCCCCGTCAGGCCCGAGCCCCCCGTCCATCTCCCGGTCCTCGGACGGGGCTGCGGACGGGCAGGGCGTGTCCGGGAACCCCAGAACCTGCCCCGCCGTGCTCCGTTCCTTTTTTAGATGAATGACCCTGTCACCAACATATGCCACGCTGCCGACAAGCAGCTCTTCACGCTCGTCGAGTGGGCCAAGCGCATCCCGCACTTCTCTGACCTCACCTTGGAGGACCAGGTCATTCTGCTCCGGGCAGGTAAAGGGCAACGACGTTCATTTCTCCTGGGGACGGTCACGTGGGTGGCCTTTCTGGAATTACCCCTGGGGACCTACCCATGAGCCGGTGGAGCCCTGCTCCATCCAGGCGGTGCCCGAGTTGGTGACAAGATGACTCTCCAGGTAGTTTTTTTGTTCTTAAATGTTATTTATAGGCTCTTAAATGTGGATGGCCCTCCCCAAAAACCTTTGTTCCCCAACAAAACCTCTGTTGTTAATGGGGCAGTAAGATATTCTACCATAGCAGAGACAAGTAAGTCGCTTTATCGAGGACATCTGCAGCCTGTCTCATTATCGTTATGTAATCGGAAAATAGAGATAGGCCCCCCCTCCCAGGTGAGGTAAGAGGGGCCAAAGATGCCGGCCCCAGCTCGCGCGGGACGGACGCCAGGTCCCTTCCTGCTTCCGGACTCCGTGTGCCGTGTCCTCTGGTGGCTCCCATTCCTGGGACACGGCGCCGTTGACATATGCCACGTCTCCTCTTTGTCACGGAGCCAGCGGGACAGTTTCGCGAGGCTGGCTGGGCTCGGGGAGCCAGTCTGCTGATGTCATCCCGTTAGTAATGCGCTAGTGCTGGGTGTCGACGGAAAAATACCCGCTGCGCCTCCAGACAATGACACGAGACGAGGCTGTCGGGTCTCGGGGACGGAGACTGCAAAGCCTACCGCCCTCCTCCGCCACGGCGGCCAGCGCAGCGGCCGCCGGCGGTTACGTGTTTGTCGGCGTTTGTCAACAGGGTGGGGGGGGGACGGAATCCTTGTCCTCAAGCCGCCGGTCCGGGCGGCACTGGGGAGACCGTGGCGGTGCCAGAGCCACAAGTCGGGGGACCCCGGTGTCACCCGGTGCTTCCGCGTGAAGGCGCGGCGTCGCCCGGAGCTGGCTTCTCAGCCCCGGACCCCCGAGCCTCTCTCAGAGCGTGGGCGCCGTCCTGCCCGTGCCGGACGAGCGCCGGCGCCCCCACGGCCCTCTCGTCCCCGCAGGCTGGAACGAGCTGCTGATCGCCTCCTTTTCCCACCGCTCGGTGTCCGTGCAGGACGGGATCCTCCTGGCCACGGGTCTGCACGTCCACCGCAGCAGCGCCCACAGTGCCGGGGTGGGCTCCATCTTTGACAGGTGTCCGTTCTGCTCCCGGTGTGTGCGTGTGCGTGCGTGGGTGTGCGTGTGTGTGCGTGTGCGTGCGTGTGTGTGCGCGTGCCCGTGCGTGCCCGTGCGCTGCTGGGATGTAGGGTGGACAGCCCCCACGGCTGCCCTTGCCTAGAAGCGGGGACCCCCGGGCAGATGGCAGCGTTAGCCTGGGGAGGGAGAGAGGGGTCAGAGGGCAGGTGCGAGGCGGAGCCGTCACGCCCGTGGGTTTCCCGGGATGAGACTGGCTCGTTGCCACGCCGCAGGCA